CCAGCCCGGGACGAGCCCCCCACAGCCCCGAGACACACCAGCCCGGGACGAGCCCCCCCACAGCACCCCGAGCCCCCAGCCCGGGACGAGCCCACCTACAGCCCGGAGACCCCAATTCGGGGTCCCAGCCCAGGATGAGCCCCCCACAGTCCTGAGACATGCCCCCCACAGCCCCGAGCCCCAAGTTCAGGTTCCCAGTCCGGGACAAGCCCCCCTACAGCCCAGAGACCCCAGTTCGGGGTCCCAGTCCAGGACGAGCCCCCCTACAGCCCAGAGACCCCAGTTCCGGATGTTCCAGGACTCCAAAACCCAACTGCGGTCAGGTGTCCCGTTTTAAAGGCTTACTAAAAATATTTCCCCCTCGTCATTCTACAACTTCCCATCAGCACACGGAACAGGGAAGGTTCAGAGGAAAGGAACTGGCCCATCTACTCCCAGTCAGCATGACGCACCTCACTGCTGCCATCGCCTGTCCTGCAGGCCGCCCCCTTCTTTCGGTGTTACCATTATCAAGAAAACATGACCAAACACCTCAAACTGGCAGCCCGCTGTGGGCGAGGGCTCGTCCGGGCTCGAATTTCAGGAAACGCCAAGTGACCTGAAAATACCTGCCTGCGCTCCGAGCACCCTCCCTCCCACTCGGCGGCCGAACGCAAGGGCCCACACCATCCTGGTTTCCTCTCTCAGACCGGACAGGAAGTGACCCCTCCACCCCCGACCATCTTCCCAGAAGCCCTTACAGCCTAGGTCAGAGAAACCCACACCCAGGGCACACTTAAAACATGAAGAGGCAGGCTTCCCCTTCTCGAAAGGAAGCTTAAAGCCAATAACAGGAAGCAGTTCTTTACACAGAGAGTGGTGGGAGCAAGGAGCAAGCTGCCCAGATTTTTTTTATTGAAGCAAAACATCTCTTTAAAAAAAAAAACACTTCCTGTTGCAGAAGTTGGATGAGCTCTACGAAATGTGCCTCTGTTTGCCTAGAAAAGGGGGCACAATGCAGAGGTCACCTGCTCACGTCAGCGCAGTCCCCCGCAGGGGGGGGGGAGGGGGTCAAAGGTCGGTGCCTGGCAAGACTGGCACAAGGGGAACATAAAAACACACGCGCAAGGCGTCATCAGGCTTAAGCGTTAAGACAAACATCAACAGAACTTTGAGCCAACAGTTAATTGCTCACTGATAAAACTGGTTGTCAACAATCCGGAGCCCCTGCTGTCGGGCACCGCTGGCCCAGTGGGACCAGTGCCAACAGGCCCTGCCGCAGCGCAAACACCAGAGGCGGGTTTCTCTCGTGGCCGGGAGCCTTGGGGGAAGAGATCCCCGTTCCCAAGGGAAAACCGGGCAGCCGGATCTCCGGGTAACCTGGGTCCTG